CATCCGTAAGGTTTCGGCCAATGATTTCCAGGTCTGTACCTTTGCGTTAGACTTGTCGAATCATTCATCACATGCGTACATGAACATATATGTTAATCCATTTGTTGAAATCATTCCAAAATATATATGTGGTGCATATATAAGTCATCTAACACAATTCTGGTATTATGTGGTTTAGGTATTTCAATAATATATTTATGCACTCATATATATTTGTAATGAAATCAACCCAAAAATATGTATATATTAATCAAAGGTGTTTAAAAGACTTAAAGAAATATTTTTGGACACTCAAAATATCAAGAGTAAGATTCGCAGACCCAAACGGTTGACGCAAACGGTCGACCGTTGCGTTAAACATCGAAACGGACCACAACTGTTAGCCAAACGGTCGACCGCCGGTGGCTAACGGTCGACCGCCGCCCGTCCAGCCGAAGTTCGCCATCCGCAGCCAGTCAACCACAGTCGACCGTCACGGTGTTCCGCCAGCCCGACGTAATGAAGGTCGAGGTCGACCGCCGTGCCAAACGGTCAACCGTTCCGAGCCCCGTAGCTTAATTAAATGATATTTTTATCAGATTTCACCCAAATAAAATAAAGTATATTTATCCATTCATATTGTTTACAAATTGTTCATATCATATGATTCATTTCATCATCCATATTGAAGCATATCACATCATGTGCATGCGTAAGAGATCATGCATAATTGCGTCTCTTATAGTGTGATGTGCGGGACTTACTAGTCCGGCATCACCCGTTCCGGGCTTAGTGTACGTACATGGTATTCGGGCTTCGAGTACCACCCCTACTTTCTAGTCTCCCTTGAGAGACTAAGGCCGCGTGAGTTCGTCGTACAAAATGGGCGAATCTCATAGCGCAAGGGTGTCCTTGCTCGTTAGAATCATACAACATGAAATCATCATCAAGTAAAATCATCATGACTATGTGTGACATCAATTACGTATCATATAATCATCATCAAGAACAATCAAATTGATTAAATTAAATGTGCCATCATGTAATTATCATTCAATATTTATCATCACGATTCATCAAATTGTCTATATGATATAATGTGCCATATTACGAATATTATTATACATTTTATGGATATATATATATATATATGTATATGTATATGTATATGTTTGTGAATCATTCTACAATTCTAGCGTGGTACCACTCAGCGGTTTCGCTGAGCGTGTAGTTTGTATTTTTCGTTGACTACACGTAGGTAACAAGAAGACAATGATGGAACCATTCCTGGAGGGCATTGAGTCAAAGGAGATGCAAGGATGGCAGGCAAATGTTTGATCAACAGATTTTTAAATGTGTCATGATTTGATTATTATTGTACTTCTGCATTACTCTGAAAATATTTTTAAATGGGTCGCGATCCAGAGTCTGTAAATTTAATATTTATCAGAAATTGTCATTTCCAAATGTCAAGTGAAATTTTTATTTATCTCTTGTTTCACCTTAATTTGTATAATTCCGGGTTATACGGATTGAGGTGTTACATTTTGGTATCAGAGCAAAACGATTTTCGGATCATTGTGTCAGTATTTTCAAAGTCCTGCATCCGCATCCTCCACGACATATCTGCCCCGGGAAGGTAATCAACAAGTAAGTTACTATGGCATAACACACATACTTAACTCATTGAAAATTTGCTTCCTTTGAGTTGATAGTATCCTTATAGACCCGATTGCAATAAAGTTTAGATTGCCTTAGAATATTCTTCAACCATCACAGTCGACATCAGAAGATCAAGAAAGGGACTGTAAACATGATAAGCGCGTCATATTCGTATGTCGTAATACACGAATAGCTAAGCAAACGATGTGAATCAACTTTTGTCAAGCCGAAGAATACGTTGAAGAGAGAGTTTTCTCCGATAGGAAGTGAACAAATTCTCCCAAGGTAAATCTGTCGTTTTTCTAAGAGCATGAATAGAGCCTCACAAACCAGATCAAATACGGCATATGTATCAAATCTGAAACGCATTATAGGGGTGGATCTACATGCAAACATTAAGATAATTGACTCGTTCGACATGAAAGGTCGCAACAAGATGACAGTACAAAGCAAGATACGAAATAGTCACACCAACAATGAGAGGCTGGAAGATAAAGAAAAAGATTAATATTTACATGGTACATATTGATGTTGGAAATAAATACTCTTCTGAAATGCACTAGTCATGCAGCTTAGAACGATATTTATGACTAACGCATAATGTACATGGATAATATTATGTTATAGATGCAACTCTAAGTCTAATCTTCCAGGATTTGCAAATTCTTCATAACTGGCACCAGGATCTAGGAAAGCATAAGCAAACTCCAGCTTGTCCAAAAGCTCATCAACAGAGAAAGAAGAAATGAACAGTTTCCTTTGATTCAAAGCCATGAAGTTCTGTCTCACTGCATCATCTAGAAAACCTAGAATGATGACTATGGTAATAGTCATTTCCCAAAAACACCGTTATGTAAAAACGTAAAACCTAAAAATAATGTGTTCCAGCTTGTGCACAACGAAGCGTAGTTTGTAAAATCAACATTCCAGACAAAGTCGTCTGAGAATGATATTAGAAGAAATTCTAAAAAAAAAAACAGAAACATTGTAAATTACCCCACATTCACGAAACGCAACCCATATAAGAACTCCTGAAACTCCTACAACACGACAAGAGCAAGTCTAAGAGTATATTCGATGCATATCTCCGTGAAAGAAATCCAAATACGTTACATCTATCATCCGCGTATATCTTCTCTAAAGAGAACATGTCATAATCATGACACTCAACAAAAGAAAGAGAAAACAACTTTTCAAAATTTGTGTTTTAAAAACAATGAATATTCATTATTTTGTACATCATCATTTTAAATGACTTCACCTAAGGAAATTTCGGGGACGAAATTTCTTTAAGGGGGGAAGAAATGTAACGCCACAAAATATGGCATAAAATTTACTCCTATAAAACAAAAGTGAATTTGAATATCAGTTTGACCAATAAGGAATATTTATACGTTTGACCAAAAATAAATAGATTTTCAAAATAATGACTTTTTATTAAAAACTTATTTTTATGTCTCGAAGAGACGAATCCAACGGTACATTTTATGAACTAATCTGATTTATAGATTTCAAGCTATGACGATTTTAAATATTAAAATTTGTAACTTTGACCCATAAAATAAACTCAATTCAAAAGTGATTTCATAAGATTAGAAATCTTAATTTTGACACTTGGCAACATCATATTAATCATTTGGATTTAATTCGTATATTTTTATCTCATTCATATTATTAAATTAATTTATGACTAAGACAGACCAGAACACTGAGAAAAATAAAAGTTCTCAGAAAAATATTTCGATTACATCAAAATTCTAGTTTTGACAGTCTGATTCCAAAAACACAACCCGTTTTCGATTCGGAACAGTTTGGGCGAAAAAGCGCGTACCGTTTAAAGTAAATTGTTCAGTTTTGGCTAAAAGCGAAAACTCAATTCTCAAATCTCTTCCAAATCTCCGTAGCATCCCTCTTGTTTAGGGGTGTTCATCGGTCTAAAACCGGACCGGACCGGACTGAACCGGACCGGACCAAAGACCGAAATATGCTAAAACCTAGACCGAAGACCGGACCTAAATAATCTCGGTTTTGGACCAGACCGGACCGAAATCACATGGACCGAACCGGGAAGACCGAAAAGACCGAATCCATGCTTATTACCTGGAAATCTGGAGAAGAAGATGATGGAGAAGGAGATTAGAGAGGGCTGATTGAGGAGGAGTTAATCATATGGTACCTTCGCAGATTCGATTGAAGCCTTTCGAAACAAGAAGGAGATATGAAATCTGAAAATCGTCGCCCGTCGCCCGTCAGCCGTCGCCCGTCCGTCGCCGGTCTGAGAATCGTCGGCCGACTGTAGTTCTGAGAACTTGAGAAGCGGCGGTTGGAAAAGAAGGTGTAAGGACGAAGGGTCAGTGACGAATTTGAATGGGTGTTTGGGAATTTCCGTATTGGGCTTCGTAAAGTGGACTGGACTCCTTCTGTACAGCTGGACCGATTGAAAATTAGATAGTCTATTCGGTCCATTCGGTCCAGACCGATTATGTATCGGGTTTAGACCGGACCGGCCCAAAACCCGAAATGTTAAATTTATAGGACCGAAGACCGACCCGAAATCAATTCGGTCCGGGTTCGGTCTGGACCTATTGGTCCGGTTCGGTCGGTTTTTTTCGGTCTGGACCTAAACATGAACACCCCTACTCTTGTTTCAACCATCCACCTAAGAAGCCCACTACACCACAACAATCCAAGATATCCCATATAATACTCCACCACTCAATATCATCATTATCTTCCACTCTCATCACCATCATCCACCATCATTCATTCATCCATCCATCCCTCTCCATTCTCTCTCTGTCGGCAGCTTCAAGGAGAGAATAAAACACAACTCCTCCTCCATAGTTGGCTCAAAGAAGAAGTAGAAGCAAGCAAGAAACCATCCAAAGTTTCCAAACCTTGAGCCCGAAACACATAGTCCAATTGAGGTAAAAACTGAAATTTTCCATCCATTATCTCAAAATACTTCTTGAACCAAAGTTTTAGCCCCGGAGGATACAAATCCAGCCCAACAAACAGCTCGCGATTTCGTTGAGTAACGAAGAAGATATGGCCAAAATACCGGGACTGCGCCAGTGGTGGCGAGCTCCTCGGGATTGGCTATGTTTCCTCACCATATTCATGTTGTTTCATTCCAAACACTCACCATAAACTCTCTAACAATTATTAGGAACATCCGGAAGGTATCGTAAAGAAGGTTCGGTGTTGGAATGTTGAAGTTAATGAGTTAATCGTCGGAATCATTGTTCATCACATATACAAAATCCTGGACAGCAACTATCCCTTGACTTCAGGTCCAATTTACGCTATCTTACATCTATTAAAACGAAATACTTTCTCTTTGAAAAATGTAGCCTTACATATTAGGAATCCACAGAATCAAACGGTTTGCGATTTCGTGAAGAAACGATGGAGATATGCCCAAAATACGGCAGGCTGTCCAATTGTGACGAGATTGACAAAGTTGGTGAATTTCGATGTTGTTTCCACTCCCGCTCATCCGTAAGGTTTCGGCCAATGATTTCCAGGTCTGTACCTTTGCGTTAGACTTGTCGGATGATGATTCATCACATGCGTACATGAACATATATGTTAATCCATTTGTTGAAATCATTCCAAAATATATATGTGGTGCATATATAAGTCATCTTTGTGTTAAGACCATAATACACCAAATCCATAAAGTTATTATATAAATACGTGAGTATATATAAACATTTGAAATCAACCCAAAAATATGTATATATTAATCAAAGGTGTTTAAAAGACTTAAAGAAATATTTTTGGACACTCAAAATATCAAGAGTAAGATTCGCAGACCCAAACGGTTGACGCAAACGGTCGACCGT